GATTGTCCGGATTGTTTTCTTTTGTGAGGGATAGCATGCTGAGCAATAGCAGTGATAAGACATTGGTGGAAGAAACTTGCAGTGGAAGTGGGGTGGAAGAACAGATAGCAGTTGCACGAGCTGGTTTCCTGATAAAGAAACTGTGTTATGTAAGCACATGACGAATCGAACTCTGAACTTCACTTTCTCTATTTCCTGTGTTGGGGCGTGCGTATGGATGCCTACAAGTTTTCCTTCCACAATTCACAAATCCCAAATGGTCATTCATGTCCAAGCCCCAACCCCTCTTTGTTTCTTTCTCCTTTACTTCAACCAAACCCGGGACCTCTTCCTGTTCCACAACCTCTCCACGTCGAAAACTTGTCACTTTCCGACCTGCTGAAGAACCGTGAAGTCCTCGACATGTTCAATGGCTGGAAGGAGGCTACTAAGCAGGTACTGAAGGCTCAAGAATACGAGCGCGAACTTCATAGTCAGAATTCTCGATTGGAGAAAGAGGTGCTGCAGTTGCGGGGAGAACTTCAAGTTCAGCGAACGGGCTTCCGGTGAGTTTTAAGTTCTTGAAATCTGATTCAGACTTGAAATTCCTCATAGATTCGGTCCCCACATCGTTTCCAAAACTCAAAGTGACTCCATCTCACCAAGCAATTCTGTGTCCCAAATTGGGAGCGGATCCATCCTGAACCCTGTCCAATGTGCTGTCAGTCAACCATCGATTCAGCCACCACACTATAGTCACAAGATTCTCTGGACACTCGAAGACTGTCAAAAGGACCTGCACAACGTTGTTACCAAGTCGAACAAATCACGCCCGGCCATGGAAAAAGCAATACAACATGAAGACAGCACGTTAATCAATGGGGGGGAGTGGCACGCAATCAAGGCGAATGCAAGAGCGATTGCAAGTTGTGATCTACTGCCTCTCCCCATTCCGTGCGACACACCAAGTTTGGTGAAGAAGAAGACCAAGACCTTCTTCACTAAGTATCACCTCAAGCAGTGGACCAACACAGTCCACAAACTCGAAGAACAAGAGCCTTTACTGGCTCTTTGTGCCGCTCATTGGAAAGCTGAACATGTACTGAATACCATTTTGACAGGAATCACAGAATCAAACCAGAATACTAGCACGAGAAGAGATGACGCTTCCGATTTGGATGACCCAGCCGTTTCCCTGCCCGATCCATCATTGAAGAACAATACCTCTAGCTCCAAGCGCCGCCTTTCGAATCCATCTCCAACCAAGCAAAAGAAGAAAAAGAAGACAGGGAAAGAGAAGGGCACTAAGGATAGTGAAAAAGGTACATCCGTTGTTCACTTTTACACAGGCTGTACTACTTATGTGATCATTATAGCTTCACCACCTTCAATAACTATCGACGATGATGCCATTAACCGACAGCTGAATCTATCAACAGAAAACGCAGGGACTGCCGCCGCTGCAACCGAACCCCAAGATAAACCGAATTCCTCCCCTGATTTGGCAATTCCTCCCATTCCCTTGACACTGGAACGCATTGACATCAATTTTATCGATGTCAATCCGTCATACTCTTCATTAAAAGGTAACATCTTTTTTAAATCTTGTTTGATACATGTTGAATATTTTTCTAGACAAATTTTCAGGCAGTCATCACACTAATACCGTCGCCATCGAACTTCTCACAGCATTTGAGGCCGACCCCGATTTTCAGTCAGGTGAACCTTCTCAAGATACGCTATCGTTTCTTGATCGCATCGAAACTGCTGACCCGAACTCACCTGATTTTTCCGAAGATGATTTATATGGAAACTGGGGCCACTATCAATTCACCGCTGGCAGTCGGACAATTTCCATGGTTCTTACCTCCTGGAAATCGGTTGGAAATACTTCAGTAGCATGGTGATTGCTTGCGGCAGCTCTGAAAACATCCAAAGTCGCGTGGCATGTATGTTTTGAACGGGCCATCAAACCCAAATCATTTCTTAGTGACATCTACATTGAATTACTCGTCGACAAGCTCTTGGATCTGTGGAAGGATGCAGGAGGGGTATGTTCTTCTCACTGACTCAATTTTCTACATGAACTAACTTTTGTCCAGAGCATTTCAAAAGGGAAGGGCATGAACAAAGACAGCGCTCTCGGTGCCAATCTACCCACATCTGACATCATCCAGATGCAGGCCCCTTCGACCCAACATGCCGAACCTGAAGCCATGCTCATCGACACCACAGCGTCCAGTTCTGGTGAATTGAGTGAATCAGCGGTCAAAACTGCTTCCGTGGATGTTCGAAAAATACTTCAAGTAAGTTTTATTTCATTTTTCACTATGTATAAACTCTCAAATAAACTCGTCTATTAGGCCCTCCAGAAAGATGAGTTGAAGGCATGGATCAATGACCACAATATCAATACACCCTCTGGCACACGCACAAAAGATGGTCAGTTCATGCTGTAGTTTTGTTTGTGCTACTCCTTATTGCCTATTCGCACTAGATTTGATTGTGCTCATTGTTGGAGATGGTGTGCATGAAAAACCATCATCCGCGGACGTCAAGCGAATTGTCGAAGCGGTAGGTTTCAGTACTTATGTGATCTTGTAATATTTTAACGTTCTGTTAACAGCACAAAGGCCAAAAGGGAGCGACGAAGGCATCCACATCCAAAGCCTGATGTCATACGAAGACGCCACTCGAGGTTTACGATCAGGAGATGGGAATTCATACTGCAAGTCATTGATTCAAGCTAGAATAGAAGGGTATATATATATAATTTATGATTTTGACATTTACATGACTCTGACTTGATGCTGAGATGACTATTACCTGAGAGAAATACATGACCAACACATATCAGTTGTGCGACTTGAGCATGACCACTTCAGTCACCCATTTTAGGGTACCCCTGAGGTATATGAATTCTTTGATTTAAGGGTACCTCAAGGGTACCCATTCCAGAGTGGTATGTGAGCACCATACCAATACCATGGTACCATGGAATGGAAAACTCATACCATATCCCACTCATACCAATACCAAGTTACCATACCATACCATGTCATGTTATACCATACCAGATGGTATGATACCATCATACCAAAGCTGTCACAGGGTGTCTGGGGTCCTTTTCCAAAATAAATAAATAAATTCTGCAGGCTGCAATACTGGTCCATTGGGTACCATTTTTTGTGGGGTGGTTCTCCATGTTTTTCTTGAGATATTGAACTACAAATTGAGGCTAGATAGTCCAAACCATCTATTGAAAATGAATTTAAATAGGCTTTATCCCAGCTTTTCTCATGCATCCAAAGCCATTTAATGATACATGTCTTTCCCAGTCCTTTCTATTTGAACAATATTCATCCAAATCAAACAATACCACATCTATTGGGATGAAGTGGTCATTGAGAAGCAAAGAAAAGTGGAAAGGTTCTTCAGGTTTTTTCTAAGATTTCCAACTCCAAGTGGAGGCTAGATAAGTCAACTCCAACCTTTGGAAATCAGTTCAATTGAGGGTTTTTTCATTTCTAAAAAGCCATTAATATGAATCCTCCCAATAATAGGTCAAATATATTTTGCCCAGTAGGGCCAATCAGGCAGTCCTACCTACTTACATAGCATGTACATATAGTATGGCCAACAACAGCATATAATCTCAATTTTCTTAAAAACTACATATGATGGAATCAGGTATTGTTGTCCTGAGTGTTTGGCCAAAGTCTTCTTTTGTCATAATATTTGGTCCAATTTATTGAAGCTGAGTGAATCTGTCCAATCCAAAGTCTTGT